ATTTGTAAATTAGGTAAAGTAAAAAAGGTGGACGGGTAACATCAAGCAACTGTTAAGTGAATGGTCTGGAGCTAGCAGGGTAGCCAGAGGGGCATCGTGGTTCTAAGAAGATTATTATCTCGCAGTGAAATTATACAGTTGGATATTATAGGGCTAGACTAATAATAATTTAGAAAGTTAACAAGACGGTACTGTGATACGTGTCGTCTCCAAGGACATCAAAGTGATTGACTAACTCACAATATACGGCAAAATTGTTTGGTTTGAATAATAATTATTAAACTAAGCTGGGATAATTTGATATCGTGGCGTGATGGACATCAATTTCCAATACACTGAAACATAAAGCCGTTTTCACTTAGATACTGTTAATCATTGACTCAAATGCGTTTTAGAAACATTTAATATGACTGATATAATATACAGTATCTGTAGTGCGCATTCTGATTTTGCAAATATTTGGTTGTTTGGAAAAGTGGAATTATTAGTATTTTCGAATACTTCTAGTTGAGCTTTGTATTTCTATTTTACTTACACTGTATGCATTTGTTGGATATGTTTAGAATATTTAAAATTTTACAAAAATTACGTCAAAATTGGTTTTCGAAAACAGCAAACAAACAAAAATAAGATAAGATAACGGTAAAGATTAATGTACCTGTTACTATGGCAAAATACCAAATAAGTGATCTGATACCTAACAAAATTATTATTATCTGTTAACATTGCCGAAAGGCACATCCATGTACCGCGTATATACACAAAATTACTGACACCTACTCTTAAATCCTTCCTCTTCAAATAGTTCAACTTCTTTTTAACATCCTCCTAGCGCCGGTGACAAGCCAGTTTTGTTTGCTTTAATAAGCGCTTTAAAAATGTGTATTATTATTATTATTATTACACACCTTAAAAAACAGCACAATTAATGAAATACTGTTCGAAAGACATCTGGTTGGTCGGGAGCAATGGAAGAAGACCGATCGATAATTTCAATAATGTTCCGTTTGTATTATTTAGATTAGCAATGTATACCCCGTAGACAAAGGGAGGAACCAGAGAAGTCATGCCCCTTGTTAAATTTTTAATTTAGCTTCCTGTAAAAATCAGAGTGATAGTTTAGTATGGAAAAAATAACAACAAATGAATGACAAATATTTATTTCTGTAAGCCTAGTACAACCTCTACTAGATACATATTATTCGCTTTCGTGAATAATTATTATTCTGGCCCCAAAAGTAACCTATAGACTAGAAAATAACTGGAATATTGTCCGAGGAGAGCTACTTGTAGGAGTTATCGTGTATTATACTGCTCTGAATAGTATTCTTGAGATATTTTTAAAAATAGATATTTCATGAATATCTGCTGTAACTAGATAATCACTATTCTAATCATCAAGATATGACCGTGGGATAATCTCAAATTAGTGCAGACCTTCCCATCCCCCTAGAAGCTAGAGGTTGCATATGTTGCTGTTTGCACAACAATCAATCTACCATTTTAAACAAAAAGCTCATTAAATAAAAAAGAAATCATAAAAATTCCTAAAAGATTGTAGCAATTTTGTCATTAAGAAAATTCTCTATTATAATACTGTCAAAGTAAGACCAGCATAAACAGCAGCATTTTGATCAATTTAACCGAAGAATTTTCAAACTATATGCGCTGATTTTAGTCAATATTTCAGGATTACACAAAGAAGAAAATATTAAAAACATCGCGAAGAAAAAAGACTTCACAGATAGCATATTAGGTCTAGTGTTCAGGTTTTCCACAGATTTCACTATGAATCTAAATTATTTATAGGCCTGTTGTATTTTTTTTTCTGTGACAAGTATCACCTTTATTCGAACATTCAATTCCACAGTAACACATTAAAAAGAAATATGATACAATCAGTTATTGCATTTAACTGGTTAGTACAGAAAAATATTATTCTTTACGCAGCAGTTTTTAATACTAAAATGATTATTATTTTTTTAAACTAAATATCAACATTTCGTTTCTTTACTGATACTATTCAACATTATTGTGATACACTTTTTTTTCAATTAGCCTTGCTTTTTCCATGTGCTTAATTTTAACCCCTTTGTATTTTATAAATGTAAAAATTATGCCTACAGAATACTAATACGAATAATCTACATTGCAATCATCACCGATAAAATATGATTGAAGTTTAACAGAAAAACAAGTTTTCCTTAAGGAAAAAAAAAAAAAAAAAAAAAAAAACCAGAAAAACAAAACGTCAGAACAAGGGGAGGGAAATGTGATGCTCGACAGCACAGGGAAAATTGCCAATTTTGGAACAAAACATGATTAACAGTATAAATGTTTTGAACGATTTGTGTTGGCCTTCAGGATAAAAAATTTACTGGGTCCTCTAAGATTGTATTTAGCAGCACGGGCTGAAGGTAATAAATGATTTAATCTGTGATTAGAGTCTTAGAAGCTGCCATGTCCTGTAATTTAAAATAGAAAATGTGAATCGATGAATCAAGCAATTAAAAATGGAATCGTCTGGAACTGGGTAGCTAGAGAGTTGCCGAAATTCAATGTACAGCATTTTTAGCTTATAATCGTATGATGCAGTTGGATGTAAGGATTTGAAAAGCTGTTATTACTAAGCTTTTGAGCGGCTTTTCACTTGCACATTTCCGACTATAGTAACTACTATGATGACAGTATTTGGCCGAATTAGATGTGATGCTATATTAGGGTCATTTATGTTATTTTATTTATACTCAGCTTTAATTCCAATTATATACGCTGCTTGTAGTCAAGCTTTTCGAGAAGCCTTCACAACATTAATACAAAGACAATTTTTCAAAATACAAGGATTGCGAACTAATACAATCTTACCATTTGAACAATAAATCTCGAGTAATACTATCTCTATTCAGATTGAATGGGTCCTATATTATTTAGAAACGCTGTTGTATATTGAATCGGTATTAAAAATGTCACTATGCTTACAGGGAAAATGTGGACTTAAGAGCCGCTTATCCTCTATAGATCAGTAGCTTCAGTGAGTATGTATCATCGGCTGCAGGCTGACAAAGAACACGGTTGTTGCTGGTTTTGAGTTTTTGCTATATACGAATGGTATAGGTGAGGATTAGTTTAGTTCCTTCAACTGCTACACTGTGTATCTCCTGTATCATAAGCCATAACGTTGTAAGGTCTAAACATTCAGCAAGTGTCTGAGACTTTCTTAGGTGAACCAACTATTTAGGATAGATTTTGTCTGAATGTTTAACATGGAATGTTGGTAAATTGTTATTCTAAAACGGTAAAGATTCTGATAACTATTATATACATATTAATTCACTTGCAGTTTACTGCGGTTTTGACGTCGTCGTGACGG